AAATCTCTGTAGAAAAGTGAAGAAACAAATAAGCACTCGAAAGAGGATTTTAGGAGCTGTCAAATTTAGTCCTAATTTCTATGGCCAATCCAGATCTTCAGAGAAGCTTCAGCTATGATCCATGTTTTGGCAGACCTACAAATTCTGTGACCATGAAGGGGTTCATGTAGCTGTTAGAATATATCTATTTTTTGGACATGGATGTCATGTTCTGATGGTCACACATGGAATTTATATTAGATCTTAGAGAAGCTCTTGTATAGGAATAGTTTGACCCCAAATCTTTAGACTTCTTCCTCAGACTCTTGAAGTTTGGCAAAATAGCCAGTCCTCCCAAGTCAATAGTTTTGATAACCAGTCTACTTGGTCTTCTACTTTTATTTGAGGTATCAACCAGAATAGAAATTTTCTAACTTTCATCATGACATGAGTTTTATCAAATATTCATCTCTCCTGATAGCAGTTTCACTCCAATTTAATACTGGTATTGGAAAATCAGTTTATTAACTTTCCTATCTGGCATGAAACAAATTAATTGAAACTTAAATTATTTAACACTTTTATTTTAAAAAAATTTCCAAATAGAGGGCTATCAAATTACTACTAAGTAGTTCATAATAAATACTCACATTTTCAGACTTTTGAATGTTAATGACTAACTTTCAATCTTGCTTCTCTTCTGAGTAAATATACAGAAAGCATGTTAATAATGAAGAATGAATACTTTATCCCACAATCTGAAAGCAGACAGAAACCTGGATAACTCTGAGGATGAGAGGAGAACCTGACAGTCTCATTTCTTGAAAATTTTGTGTTGTACATACAAAGATGCTGATGTGTGTGTGCATGCAGATATTGTTGATTATACAATCTATGTGTGATTATTTTCTTGCTAAATGAACAAATACAGTTACAGGTTGTTGGTGACCTTTTTTGTTAGTGTGAGCCTCCACCTGGAATTTTTTTACTGTGCAGCTGTATTACTGTGCCATAATCCTAAAAGCATGGAAAGGCATACCCTAGGGCAGATTGCTATTTACAGCTATGCAGTCTTCTGATGGGCGTTCAGAACTCTGTCAATCATTTTGAAGAGCCACATAGCAAGTTTGGTAATGAACAGTTGCAGGAAGAGAGGAACTGTTACGGCTCTTCTATGCACAATGAAATCTCCATTGGCTGATGGGATGTGCAGCTAAGCCCTCAGAAAGGTAGAGCTAGAGGTAGGCTAGCACCTTTGTTAAAAAAACAGAAACAGAGCAAAAGTCCCTTGAATAAATGATGTTCTGTTCCTCTTGAAATGCATGTGCTTTGGAGGCTGCTGTTAGCAAAGGCAGATATGTATATACCTAAAATGTTTCTTTGATATTATACTTAAATGTGCATTAGTCAGAGGGATTAGTTTAGGTATATTATTAAGTAGAACAAGCTCAAACATCACATATTACAGGAGAAAATTATTGCACTCAAAAAACTGAGACTCAAGGTATTCAAGGGAGTTTTGATATATGTTAAACATCAAGTGACACCTTGCGTTTGCATAGTGGAAACTTTCACTAATTGTATTTTGGGCAACTGGAAAGCACATAATTCAGAATATGATTAAACAGTTTCAAATTTTCTTCAGGAATGACAGTTTCCATTTGGATTAAGGTATTCATCTAGTTCATCTTTTCAGTGGCAGTCTTGTTTTAGTTTTATTTATGATTTTGAGTTACTAATGAGTTTCTGTAATATAGAATGCTGTTTTCTATTTCATTTCGTGCTTGCTCTGAGAATTAGTAGGAGAGAAGAATTATTGGAAACTGGGACAAGATGTGTGTGAAAGCAGTTGCTCAAAGCTCAGGATACATCAGAACCAAAATGCAGTGAACATGTTGAAATCTGGCCTCATGGGCGGGTGATTAAACAGTGTCTTGCAGCAACCTTGCTTTAGTACAACTAAATATCTGACTTTGGTGTCAATCCATATTTTTGGGGTTTGTGGCATTAAAAAGAAGTATTCAAATTATTTCCGTATTTGCCACATCACAGAATTAAGGTGTAAAAGGGGAAGCATTATGGTGACCAACAATAGGACAAGTTGCTTACAGAGGTGGTGGAATCTCCTTCTTGGGAGACAGCTGGATCTAGGCTGGAGATAAGCCTGAAGAACATGATAGAGTGTTGGCTTCAAAGCAAGCCTTGCTCTCAGCTGGAGGAAGGACATGACCTGCTTCATCATTCCGTGATTCTGAACAACAATGAGAAAATGGCTTTAAGCATTGTCTAATAACTGAGAAGAGGCTGCAGATCGTATTTGACGATTTCCTTAAAAAAGCAACAGAAGAAGCATTTTTAGATTTCATCCTCACCTGGGGTTTTTTGGATTATATATTACGTGAGTTTGAAACTGAATGGCACTGACTTACACATACTGCTTATACATCATCTGGGTAAAAAAAAAAAAAGCTGTTGCTGTTTTTGTGAAGGACAAGCCAACGTGAAGCCTGAAGTCTATGTAAAATAATCTAAAGTGTTAGCTAAAATCACTGAAGTCAGTTGAACAGTTCCTAGGAACTTTGCTCGAGTTGTAGATTGTGTCCTTAATTATAATTAAATTTAATGAGATAATTTAGAATATTAAATTGATTTAATAAAACCTTTTTGTTTTGCAGTATGACATAATGTGTGGAAAAATGGCTAGACGTCTAAATTACGTGCTCTCTTGCTATTAAAAACTGATACCCCTTCATTACCCTTTCTTCCCAAAAACTGACTCAGAAGTTGAGAGCTGCAAGCTCATGTTTGCAGGTTCAGTTTACAGATTAAACATTTGAAGAGAAGGCCTTTCTTATTGTTCTCATCTGCTTTCAGAATCACTTAGAAGACATGTCAGTATTTGCTGCTTGAGAATGTCTCAGCTGTGAGGTGAGACGTCCCTTGGAAGCCGAGCCTCAGCCTCCTGCATGTGAGCTCAGGTGTACGGGAAGCAGGGAGGAGAAAATGAAAAGAAAAGCAGCTTTTGTAATTGAAAAGGGAGCCTTGTAAGCTGGGGTGAGGGTTTGTCTTATCTGCTAGGAACAGGATTTGGGCTCAAGGGGCTGTCAGTGCTTTTGCTTAGATTTACTTTTATCAAGTGGCACAAAAGCTTTGCTTTTTGTATTGATTCATGAAATAAGAGGTTTGAATACTCAGACACTCTAATGTAGCCTTTTCTTAGTTTCAGCACTGAAGCATTTGTTTATATTTATAGAAGGCTAAAATTCAACACAACTAAAATCGTGCTTTTAAATTTTGGAGTAACATCATGGTTTAGCCCGGCTGGATGCCAAGTGCCCACCAAAGCCGCTCTATCACTCCCCCTCCTCAGCTGGGCAGGGGAGAAAAAATATGATGAAAGGCTCAAGGGTCAAGACAAGGACAGGGAGAGATCACTCAGCAATTACCATCATGGATAGAACAGATTGAACTTGGGGAAAAAAGTTTAATTTATCCCCAGTCAAATCAGAATAGGATAATGAAAAATATAAAATCAAATCTTAAAAAATAACACCCTCCACCCCACCCCTCCCTTTTTCCCAGACTTAATTTTACTCTAGATTTTCTACCTCCTACCCCCAAGCAGCACAGAGGGGTGGAGAATGGGGGCTGCAGTCAGTTCATCACACGTTATCTGTCGCTCCTTCCTCCTCATGGGGAAGACTCCTCACACTCTGACCCTGTTCCAGCGCGGGCTCCCCACGGGGTCACAGCTTCCTTTGGGCATCCACCTGCTCCAGTGTGGGGTCCCTTCCACGGCCTACAGGTGGATATCTGCTCCACTGTGGACCTCCACGGGCTGCCGAGGGACAGG